TACAGGAAAAAAATCTTCTGCTCAAGAATAGCAAAGCCCGTTGTTATACTGATATGGAAGCATCCTCAGGTAGTTTAAAATTCAAGTCTCCCCCCCCCCCCCACCCCCCCTGTAAACTGTTTAATACTAAACTGATTTGTGCTTTTTCCTAGCCAATGTGCTCAGGTGAGCGATGTGGCCCATGGGCCTCTTGCTGAAATTCTGGACAATTTGTATTCTTTAGATCACAATAGCCTAGTGGTAGGGCATTCGCTTGGTGATCGGGAGGCCCGGGTTCGAATCTTTTAAAATCTTCTAAAGGCATGATTATTTGAAAAATATGGAAGTATCATAAGTTAGAGTAGATTCAATTTTTTTTCAAATCATGCCCCCCCCCCCCCCCCTAATTATTTTATTGATCCTGATCATCCTATTTCTCTTGCTTTTGGGCAATAAAGATTCATCTATCAGTTTATTTTATATATTTCTATGGATCCTCTAAATTGTTGTATTATGCACAGGTGACCGTTAAGGTCCTTTTGCCTCCTGTTTAATTTCAAGATGTAGACATGATTTTGTCATAATCAAATGCAATTTGTAGGCTTTTTTTTCAAAATAATAAATTACCTGTATATTGTTCTTTATTTTCTTTCCCCAGAACACAGAAACAAGATGAAAAGAAGCTGTACAGTTGTTACCAGATACAAGAAGTCAGTGTGGTATATATTTCTCTGTTACTTTATATAACTGTACAGTTGTTGCCAGATACTATACATGTACAATTATTGCTGTATTTGAGGTCAATACAATGATTTAACCACCTGAGGAGTACAATATTCACTGAGCCTGAAGGGCGAAGTAAAGATTGTACTTCGAAGGTGGCTAAATCATCATATTGACTGAAAAAATAGCAATAATTGTTTTATTATATGATTCAATAATTAAATGATACGAACTGATGAAGCAGTTTATGCCATCTTACTTGTTTACATTTGCTGAAGTCCTAGCTTAATGCAATGAAAGAAACGGGGTCAAATAAACTACCAGACATATTAATTTGAATTTATTTAAATGTACTTTAGTTGCTACGAAAAAAAGAAATAATGTCAGGCTCTTTTATAGAATAGATTTTGAAAGGGGGGTTAGGGTGCATTATCAGGGAAAAATGACAGCTGAAAAAAATCTTTGATTAGCTCCTATGAAAAGAGAATTCTTTTAGGCCAAAAAAAATTATTCAATAGTTTCTCAGGCACCGCTGCATCAGGTCAAAAACGGCCGCATTGATCAATTTTATTGACATTTTGAAAAGGGAAATAACTCAATTTTCTATTTTTCCAAGTTGATAAAGAAAATTGAGTTATTTCCCTTTTCATAACAATTAATAGACTTTTTTTTTTTTTATTAGATAAACAATATTCTTCTAGTCTATACAGTCCTTTATTAATTGACTTTTAAAGAAATGTTTAGAATAAAATAATTTAATGTTGAATACATTATAATTAGTATATTAAGTGAACAAAAAAGTAAGAATCAGTTAATATCATCATTTTGTTGAACTACTTACATGAAAAAAAGATACCTGCTTCAAAAAAAAAAAAAAAAAAAAAAACCTGCCTGCCACATTGAAGTTTGAAATTTTTGGCCTGAGAAACTATGAATTAATTTTTTATGGCCTTAACTTCAAATTTTGTTTTAGGGTTGGTGGGGTTAGAGGTAAGGGATTAAGGTTTATTAGTGGGGGGACTGGTCTTTCAATGAATATTTTAAGTTTACAATGAATATTTTTAGTCTAAAAAGTAAAAATTTTAATTCAGAAAAAGAAAATTGTATGGGGGGGGGGGGGTGGTCCCCTGCACTCAACCCTCATCCCCCCACAACCACCCCCACCCCAAATGATATATTCCCTAATGTTATGTTCACCTGAGTAGAAGTCGATAGCAAGTGAAATAGCTTTCCAAAACTATTTGTATTAATTTGGAATTTTACTATCTATTTTTAGACCAATCTAGAGAAAATAAATCCTTATATTTACCTGGAAGGTCACATGCAGGTGATATAATGTAGTATTTTTTTCAACATTGTTGGATCTCAGCCAATCAGAGAGATGGGAATTATTCAATCATATAATAAAAGAAATTAGTGTGGTATACATTTCTGTGTTAGTTTATATAACTGTATCTAAACACAGAGTGCATAATATTATCACAAAAATCTATATTGATGTACTGCACAACCTTGTTACATATGAATTAATACATGTATATGAAAGAAAGCAGAGTTTATTGTGATTATATTTTTGTATATTGTATATACATGTAGTTAATACATTTGACTTGAAATAGTAGACTTGATTTCATATGATAATCTATAACAATTAAAATCTTCAGCATTTTAACATAAAGACATCTATTAAAATTTTATTTTAGATAGTCTTCATTGTGAATACCTGGAGCCTGCTCTTCACAGAGAAATTGAAAGAATTCAGCACCCAGTGTAAAGGTTTTTATATCTGTGTTAATTTTATAAGTTATTGTTCCAGATCTAATTATAAGCAGTGTATAAAGAAAAAATGTTGGTCTAAAACATTTAATTCTGTGTAAATAGAGACTTGTTACTGATGTAGATAATTCTAGTACAATGTTGTAATTTACAGAGAAATCTCCCTGACTGAGGAAATCAACACGGGATTCTGTTATAAAACCACAGGATAAAGATGAAATAAATGTCTGCTGTCAATGATGTATAGATTAGTGTTACAGAAATCTGTCACAGTCACAGGTGTTAGGTGGTGTATTCACATTACCCGTGTATCATCAGACCGGGTCTGGATCAGTGATGTGTACAATCTCATCTTGACAAACACAGCAGGTGATAAACTACATCATCTGACAGATATAGATAGATATGGTGGAGTACACACTGTGAATAGTGACGGTGATTTAATTTATATAGACAGGGAGTATAACATTAACAAACTGTCTATAAATAACACAGTAAAGACTACATTAATAAAGTACAGTACAGCACCATGGGAACCACTGAGTGTCTACAGCTCCCCCTCCACTGGAGACCTGCTGGTCGCGATGTATAACACTGATACAGATACAGGCAAGTTAGTGCGGTATAACTCCACAGGAGAACACATCCAGACCATACAGTACAACAACAACACAGGTCAGAGACTGTATAGAGAACCTATCTACATCACAGAGAACCACAATGGAGATGTTATTGTGTCTGACTTGTACCGTAATGCTGTAGTGGTGACAGATCGCAGTGGAAGTCTTCGCTTCTCCTACACAGGACCTCCATCAGGATCAGGACTAACACCACTAGGAATCTGTACTGATGCGCTGTCACACATCCTGGTGTGTGATGATTACACCGAGTCAGTACAGATGTTAGACAGTGACGGTAACTTCCTGTCACAGATACTGACTTCACCACACGGGATAGACAGACCATGGGGCCTGAGTTATGATGATACCACACACCTACTGTGGGTAGGGTCAGTCATCAACAACACAGTCAACATATACAGAGTGATAGACAGGGACTCTCTGACTGGTAAGTAACACTGTAGTTTGTATAATTGTATTGTATAATTATAATATCACTACAACATAATAACTACATTATGTGAGGGAGGTCAGTTAAGAATAACTAGTTACTGTACATATATGTATTAAGTGTTTATTTACAAATGTTTAAGTTTAATCAGAAATGATTACTTAATGTGTAAACAACATGTGCTGTTCAAGATTAAGTTTATGACTACAAATATGAAAAATAGATTAAAAAGAAATAATGGATTTATATCCAGTCTGTAATTAATTGTATGGTGTTGTGGTTAACTCTATATTCACTGTTGTTTATTTCAAACTTTTATGTAAATTTTTCTCGGAAACTTCTTATACAAAGTACAAACATCTATACATTTGCTTGATAGACAGGTTTTGATTTACAGATTCATGTATGATATATACTGTCATTAGGTTAATTATCAACTTTTGAAATTTTTGTGCTTTTTTGTTTATGAAAGAAAATTGGTGTAGTATGATAAATTTTTGAGAAATAGTGAGTGAATTAAATTTTTAAAAAATCTTTTCTAATTATTACAATATCCTTTATAATGTATTCAGTTTAAGTAATTCTACATTCATAACAGATGACATTTTGTACTGATGTTGACAGTTAGATATAAACACCATTGACATTAACAAAGCTGTGTCTATAGGAATGTTGTGTATTTCTGTAGCAGGTGTGGGGGGTAATCTACACGGTGTACTGAGTTGACATTTTTGTGCATGAGAGAGTTCTAGAACTAATTCAAATTTAAGATTGATGCCAACTTTATGACAACACACAGAAATTACCACAGAAAATCAAGTAAACCTGAATGCAACTGCATTGATCAATTCAAGTGACTTTGATAATTAAAGGGAGATTACTCAATTTTCAATATGAAGGTGAAGAAGAAAATTAAGTTACCTCCCTTTTCACTATAAAGGTGTAAAAAAAATAACTTGGCCTTTTCCTTTGTTTCAAAATAGTTCATCCATGAACTAAAAATATAATTTTATTATTACTGTCTGTATCAATTAAGTGTTATTGCATGATATGGTGAAGGAGGAAATACTTGTATATTTATCATAAAATTTACAATTAGCACTAGCTTATATTGTTATAATATGTCTTATATGACAATATTGGAAACAAAAAATTCCCTTATATAATCATTGTAGATCACAAATCAACGACTCTTTATCGCCACAAAATTTTTTCCCTCTGTATATCTTCGCATGTAATCATGTATAAAGTTTATCTAATGAATGTGAATATATATCTAGATTTGTTTCTAAAATTGTCTGGACTCAAAACATTTTGTCTTTTCCAATATCATGAATATTGGGACACCAGTTTGGTATAAAAAGGAAAAGCACTAAAAAGCCTTTGCTTTGTGAAGATAAATCAAGATTGATCTTAATTATTTACAATATAAAACTTTATTCTCCTAATAGGACTCACTCTGGAGGACATCAAATGTAAAAAGCATCCCAGAAATCCCCTGGACCAGTTCTGTATCCATTGTGGTGTTCATTTGTGTGTTGAGTGTATCAGCTCGGAGGATCACAGCAGACATGACCTTAATGATATAGAGGACTTGTTTGACAACATTCACAAGATAAAAGGTAGGTGTTTGAAACCTCGAAAATTTGATATCTTAGCCAGTGGAATATATTTTAAATATTTGACTATCATTTTGCTTTATATTTAATTATCAAAAAAAAAATAGTTTCAATGACCTTTAGTGACCTGAGCCAAACACCAATGAAAGGGATATTTTCTGATCAAAGTATGTAGGCCTTCCATTTAATTGTCTGCCTTGTTGCCAGAAGGTTTATCGGCAACTAAAGTTATGGAGGTTTATAAAATCACCTAGTCCATCTGGCTATCTAACTGTTCATCTGTCTGTCTGTGCAATCACGTGCAGACTAAAACTTCATAATGGGGAAACACTGAAAGCTTATACTGGTTACAATGAATATGTGTGTTGACCTTGACCCAAGGTCACTTTAGCAAGTTCAAGACTACAATCATCTCACATAAATTCTCGAATTGAGGTGTATTTACATTTAATGTGATGAAAGGCCTTTACTAATAAACTTACAGAATTATACATGTGAAGGAATTTTAATACGGAGGCTCAGAGAGTCTTGCGTTTTTAGCTCACCTGAGCTGAAAGCTCAAGTGAGCTTTTCTGATCACATTTTGTCCATAGTCCGTCTGTCTGTCCGTCCGTCTGTAAACTTTTCACATTTTCGACTTCTTCTCCAGAACCACTGGGCCAATTTCAACCAAACTTGCCACAAAGCATCCTTGGGTGAAGGGGGTTCAAGTTTGTTCAAATGAAGGGCTACGCCCTCTTCCAAGGGGAGATAATTAAGAATTGGTGAAAATTTGGTGTCATCTTTTAAAAATCTTCTTCTCAAGAACCATTGGGCCGGAAAAGTTGAAACTTATGTGAAACCTTTATTACATAGTGTAGATTCAAGTTTGTTCAAATCATGACCCCCAGGGGTAGGGTGGGGCCAAAATGGGGAATCAAAGTTTTACATAGGAATATATAGGAAAAATCTTTAAAAATCTTCTTCTCAAGAACAACAAAGCCACAATTAGTCATATTGATATGGAATCATCCTCAGGTAGTGTAGATTCAAGTTTCTTTAAATCATGACCCCCAGGGGTAGGGTGGGGCCAGAATGGGGGATCAAAGTTTTACTTAGGAATATATAGGAAAAATCTTTAAAATTCTTCTTCTCAATAACAACAAAGGCACAATTAGTCATATTGATATGGGATCATCCTCAGGTAGTGTAGATTCAAGTTTGTTTAAATCATGACCCCCAGAGGTAGGGTGGGGCCAGAATGGGGGATCAAAGTTTTACATAGGAATATATAGGAAAAATCTTTAAAATCTTTTTCTATAGAACAACAAAGCCACAACTAGTCATATTGAATATGGAATCATCCTTAGGTAGTGTAGATTCAATTTTTTTTTCAAATCATGACCCAGAGGGTAGGGTGAGGCCACAATGGGGATCAAAGTTTTACATAGGAATATATAGGAAAAATCTTCAAAAATCTTTTCAAGAACAGGAAAGCCATTATCAGTCATATTGATATGGAAGCATCCAGGTATTGTAGATTCAAGTTTGTTCAAGGCATCCTCCAGTAGTAGGGTGGGGCCATAATGGGGGATCAAAGTTTTACAATAGAACATGTATAGGAAATATCTTTAAAAAATCTTCTTCTCAAGAACAACAAAACCATGATGAGTCATATTGATATGGAAGCATCCTCAGGTAGTATAGATTCAAGTTTGGTGACAGGCGATCAAAACTTTACATATGAATATATAGGAGGAAAATCTGCTGACGAAGAACAACAGGGCCATATTGACTCAGGTGAGCGTTGTGGCCCATGGGCCTCTTGTTTTACTATTGCTCCTAAAAAATTGGTGGAAATACATAATTTGATGCCATTGGTTCTCCATTGCAACTTCTTGGACCTTTCTAACAAGTGGAAAAACAACCTCATATGTGGTACGTGTGCATCCATGACAAGTCCTCTTTTCTGATACATTTGAATAAATATAGGGAGATCTGTTATCTATACTGTATGGAGCAGAAAGTCATTGAACGTAAGGATATTATCTAAAATATACCACAGAAGGACAATCTACTATCTGTATTCAATACTGAAATAAATAGGAAGCGACTCCATTTTGTATAAAAATTTATCATTTGGTGAAATGAATGTGATTCGGTGATGTAAATAATTCGAGGTATTTTTCCGAGGTTGCTGGAAAATCCAGAGAAGATTCGATTGCATCGGTACTGAAAATTTTGCTTAGTTTTTGATAAGATTTTGTGATTATTATTGTATGTACAGACATTTTTAAACCAAGTGCAATTTCATAACTATAAGCTCTATATTGAGCAAACGTGTTTGAATGATACATATAAGGATGCACACTACTGGACTTGCTTCGGATGCTAGGTCTGACCCACATTTTCTGGATGATTGACCAGGTTAAAGTTTTTGGAGCCGGTCCATTGCCAAGAAACTATATGGTCTATCTGAATCAAACTTGCATGGATGATGCATCAAGGAATAAACACTCTCAAACTTGCTTCAGATGCTGGATTTGACTTACATTTTCTGGATGAATGACTAGTTTAAAGTTTTTAGATCAGTCCATTCCCAAGTAACTGCAAGCCCTATCAGACCAAAACGACATAAATGTTGCATTTAGGGATGCACACTACTAGATTGTTAGTTAAGTGTGTGAGACTTTGCCTAACTTAAAGAAACATTCGTTGAGTGAGCTGAGTAATCTCTGATTACCTATGTTTGATTATATGCAGGCATTATGTGGACTCTTTCTACTTTGATATTTATTTTACCCGATTTTTAATCAAAATACATGTATATATCTACATACATTATACATTTTGAGTACTTTATATGATAACCAATCACTTGTAAATATGAGAAATTTGTACAATTTAAATTGAAATTGTTCATGCCCCAATCATGAAGTACTTTCAGTACCCTGATTGTTTTGTTTGAGATTGTTTTATTTATAGATATCTGAGATTTTGTTTTTATTTTGTAGATGGAGATACACTTTTGATGTCCCTTCTTCTTTCCAATTCCTACAAAATAAACATGAAAGAAGGAAACTGGATGAACAAATATAATGCTGTTGCCAATAGTTTTCATTCCATGGAAATCACAAAGCCATTTGCTCTTACAGAATTAGAAAAATACAAACCAATTCTGAAACTCAATGAATTAGAAATCAGTTTTTCAACTGAGCTCTTCAAACATATCAGTTTCTTGAAATTTTCAACGAATTCAAAATTTCTGGATATTTTCTTGACTTGGGCAGAAAAAGAAAACATTGCTGAATACTGTAGATCATGGAATTATCGAAGAAGAGAGGATGAAGTGTGCTGTTGGTTATTGCCAGAGGAAACTGAGGAGTTTTTAAAAAGACTTGGAGAAGATATTTTCACGCACCCAACAATGGAGGACCAGTCATTTCATGAAGCCGTATTTAGAAAATGTAGGTCAACTTTTAGCTTACCTGACATAATTATTTAAATAAAAGAATAAGGGTGTATAAGGCAAACTTAATCTTTGAGATGAGATATTTGTCAATTTTCAAAGTTCATAGAAAAGTTTTATTTTAAAAAAATTATGTTGTCATTAATGTCATCTTTAACATGTTTGGTTCATTTATTTTATTGAACAACAAATTGATATTTTGTTTCGAATTTGACAGTTTATAATATGATTTTTATGCCCTGCAATGAATATGGTCGGGGTTTATAGTGTTTGTCATGTCCATCTTTCGTCCTTCTTTTCTTCCATCTGTCCTTCCATCACACTTTTTGTTTAGCTCAGTTCAAAGCTCAGTTTCAAAGAAACCATTCAATATATTTAGCTCACCTCGACGAAGTCGAGATGAGCTTATGCTATACCCCCGGCGTCGGCGTCGGTGTCGGCGTCGGCGTTAGCGTCGGCGTCCCAGGTTAAAGTTTTAGGAGCAAGTCCCATTCCCAAGTAACTATAAGCCCTACCTGGACCAAACTTGCATGGATGATGCATCTAGGGATGGACACTACCGAACTTGCTTCGGATGCGGATCTGACCTAGATTTTCCAGATGAGTGACCAGGTTAAAGTTTTAGGAGCAGGTCCATTCCTAAGTAACTATAAGCCCTACCTGGATTAAAATTGCATGGATGATGTATCTAGGGATGGACACTACCACACTTGCTTCGGATGCTGGATCTGACCTAGATTTTCCGGATGAGTGACCAGGTTAAAGTTTTAGGAGCAGGTCCATTCCCAAGTAACTATAAGCCCTACCTGGACCAAACTTGCATGGATGATGCATGTAGGGATGGACACTACTACACTTGCTTGGATGCTGGATCTGACCTAGATTTTCCAGATGAGTGACCAGGTTAAAGTTTTAGGAGCAGGTCCATTCCCAAGTAACTATAAGCCCTACCTGGACCAAACTTGCATGGATGATGCATCTAGGGATGGACACTACCGAACTTGCTTCGGATGCTGGATCTGACCTAGATTTTCCAGATGAGTGACCAAATTAAAGTTTTAGGAGCAGGTCCATTCCTAAGTAACTATAAGCCCTACCTGGATTAAAATTGCATGGATGATGCATCTAGGGATGGACACTACCACACTTGCTTCGGATGCTGGATCTGACCTAGATTTTCCGGATGAGTGACCAGGTTAAAGTTTTAGGAGCAGGTCCATTCCCAAGTAACTTTAAGCCCTACCTGGACCAAACTTGCATGGATGATGCATCTAGGGATGGACACTACCACACATGCTTCGGATGCTGGATCTGACCTAGATTTTCCGGATGAGTGACCAGGTTAAAGTTTTAGGAGCAGGTCCATTCCCAAGTAACTATAAGCCCTACCTGGATTAAAATTGCATGGATGATGCATGTAGGGATGGACACTACTACACTTGCTTGGATGCTGGATCTGACCTAGATTTTCCGGATGAGTGACCAGGTTAAAGTTTTAGGAGCAGGTCCATTCCTAAATAACTATAAGCCCTACCTTGATCAAATTTGCATGGATGATGCATCTAGGGATGGACACTACCACACTTGCTTCGAATGCTGGATCTGACCTACATTTTCCACATGTGAGACCAGGTATAGATTTAGGAGTAGTCCCATTCCCAAGTAACTATAAGCCCTACCTCGACCAAACTTTCATGGATGATGCATCTAGGGATGTACACTAACCAACCTGCTTCGAATGCTGGATCTGACCTAGATTTTCCACATGAGTGAATTTTAGCCATATTTTAACCAAATTAGCATGGATGTTGTATCTAGGGATGGACACTTCCAGACTTGCTTTGGATTCTGAATCTGACGTACATTTTCCAGATGAGTGACCAGGGTAATTTTTTTTGAGTAGCTATATAATATTATGGCCTTTTATGATTAAACTTGCATAGATGGTGCATCTAAGGATGAAAACTTCCAGACTTGCTTTGGATGTTGGAACTGACCAAAATTTTCTTGATTACTAAACAGGTCAAAAGTTTTTTGAGCAGGTCTATAATTAAATCAAACTTGCATGGATATTGATCTTGGGATGTACCCTAACTAGATAAAAAATATGATGTGAAATTTGCTTTACATGTAGATAACATTCGTCGAGGTGAGCTTCGTAATCTTTGATTACCTATGTTTTTATAAAACTTCGTATGCTAATACATATTGATTAGAGCTATTCAACTGCATCACATATTTTTTGACCTTGACCTTTCCTATGACCTTGACCTCATTTTTCTTAGTGTTTAGCTCAGTTTTTAATAAACCATTACTTTGATATCCTTTCACACTGTGAGAGAATATCACTTTGTTATCCTTTCAAACTATGAAAGAATATCATTTTTATTCAATAAATAAATCACAGTATTTCACTATTGAAAATGTAATAAAAAGCATTACATGTCTTGACAGAGATCTTTGGAAAGAGATTGAATCATGTGACAGAATTTTTAAAAAAAATTTATTACATGATGATAATTTAACTCAGGAAGTTGAAACCGTTTTCAATTTTGAATAGATTTTTTTCATAAGGCTGATAAACAGCTCAAAATTATCATATATCTTAAAAAACATAGCTGAAAAATACATTATATTACAAAATAAAGGAACCAGATGTATAAATGATGGTATGGAGAATACAACTTTTCTATGAATTTCAAAATAAAAAAGAATCTTTTCTCAGAGTGTCCACACCTTGTATATATTTCCATTTTGTAATGACAGAAGTTGGCCTAGATGGGTGATTAATAATATCTTTTAACATATTTTTTGATCTTGACAAATGTCTTGAAAAACAAAATGATAATATTTTTCTTTTTAAAAGTGGTACATTTACGTAATCATGAATTTGTCTAAGCATTAATGCTTAAGTTTTCATCTTTATTAGTCGGCATACCAATTCAGGTAATAATGAGGGGAGACAAATCTGTGAAAAATTTCATTGAGAATCTTAAGAGAGGGAAGACAACCATGTACCATGCCTCTGGGATGATAATAGGGTGTGCTGGTAGTGGAAAAACAACATTGTTAGAGAGACTGAAGGGCATTGACTTGGAAGAAATAAAGAAAAATATCAGTTCAACCAGGGGAGTCGATATCCACTCGGATGTCTTTGATGTGACAGATAGCATCCAAGGTATTCTTTATTCATTGCTATTGTATGATGGACTTCAAATTAAAACAGCAAAACATTTTATAAGAGTCATGTTTTGTCACACGGTACTTGAATGAAAGGAAATTGTTAAAAAAATCAACTAAATATTGTATGAACACATTTTTTGCTGTACATTATACAAATATAGCCCTTTCATGAGGTCGATCCAAAGATATATCGACTTCACAGAAAAGCATATCGTGCAAGGTCGATATGCTTTCCTATGAAGTCAATATATCTATGGATTGATTGTATAAAAGGGCTACATTTGTTATATTATGTTTTTAAACACATTAATAAAGCAAAAATTTATTTGAATTCAAGTTTTGTGAAAATTAAGGTTTGAGTATTGAAATAATGTGCATTACTCATGGATTTAAAATAGTGAAATCGAGCAGATGCTGCGCAGACATTGTGTTCTGGATTGACTTTGATCTCCGCGTTCTTTTTGTTATTTACATGTATGTGTAAATTAAAGAGTATTTAATGTATTTGTTTTTGTTTCCCTCTTGAACACATTCCAAAGTTTACCTGTAACTCTCCATTCTGTTTGTTTTAACTGTCCATTCTTTTTGAAAAAACTGTCCATTCTTAAAAGAATGGACAGTTTTCCAAAAAGAATGGACACTTACAGGTAACTTAATGGATTGTTTGAGGAGTTAGCTCAACATTAAGCTATAGAATGGACAACACAAACAAAAGGTTTACGTCACAATCATGTTTTAACTTCTGTGAAAGTACTCAAATATACTTGTTTTACTTAAAATTCAAGAACATTGCAATTCCATGAAGCCTGTTTTCCAAGACCTTGGCTCTAAGGAGAAAAATTTTAATAGGAAATGAAAACACTAAGTCTCTGCTTTATCTTGATGTTTAAAATGGAATATAAAGTGTTAGTCAATAAATTGGTATATCTACAGGGCCATTTTATGCATAAAGTTAACCTAGCTCTTTGTTAATGATTTTTTTGTATAAATTTATGCTTGAGATATTAAACATCTATATATTAAGAATGTAGAGTAGATCCACATTCAAGGCATTGTGACGTCATACCCATTATGACGTCACAATTACAAAGAAGAGTTGATGTATCTGTTTTTAGAAAGTCCAGGCTTCGGGGCCACCAACGCTGAGATTTTCTCAAATCTGAGATTTCTCAGAAAATTTGAGTTTTTCTCACCAAACTGTGCCACCAAACAAATATTTTCTCAAACTCAGACTAGTTTTTTGAGTTTTTTCTCAAATCTGAGATTTTTTCTCACGTTTGAGATTTTTCTCAAACATGCGTGCCACCAACGTTTTTTCCGACTCAGCTGAGAAAAAATTCTGAGATTTCTCAGAAAATCTTGAGATTGATGTATACCAGTCTCAAACAAAATCTCACAATTTTTTTTTATGGTAAAATGATCGCAAATGTTGTGACAGTGCACATTTTAATCAATAAATACACGAAATTAACATACAAGCACAGAAAGGATGTTAATTTCTCCCAAAACTTGATTATCCTGTGAAGAGGGGGGGGTTAATTACGCACATGTAAATATTTTTATTATATTAATATTGTCCACGCATGGAATCAAGCACTTTAAACTTTACCAAAAGGAAAAAAATAAAGAAAAAAATAAAGAATAGAATATTCTAGTGGCACGTTATACATAACATTTATATCTTCATTCGTACTGGAATTAATATAATTAATTTAATTCATATTTTAATGAGCTTTTTGTGACAAGACATTTTTATTACATGTAATTCACAATGTTCATGTATATCAGAAAAGGAAATATGACTAGATAAAATATCAAAGCTCCTCGGTCCCGTATTTTTTTTTTCTCTCCGGTAGTTATATTTTACTATTTATTAGTGTAAATTATACGAAATATTAAAAGAAATCTGTCTAAAATTCCATGTACAAATTCTTCTGTTCTTTCGAAATAATATGTAAATCACCATGCATTTATTAATTACAGATGATAGCAGTCTGTCTAATTTGGTTCTTAACTAAATCTATAAAATTCTTGATTGAGAATTTGGATCGACTTTATACTCACAATGTATTGTGCGTACTTAAATCCTTGACCATGTATATTATTTATAAGAATAAACTTGACTTATGACCATTCTGAAATACATGTATAAATCACAACAAGAACTGCATCTATTCAAATGTACTTGCTAGCTATAGTACTTTTAAGAATGGATTTTTTTTTAACAAACAGTATTTTTTAGTACGACAACTTACATTTTGAAGCAAAAAAGTATGATCCGTAGTTTTTTTTTGTTTTTTTTTAAATTACATCATTACGCAGTGAAACTTTTATTTACGATATGATTAGAAATTAATCAGTTTCTCATTACTCAGTGAGCGTATGCGAGATTGATTTGGGTTTTCAATGTAACGATGATTATTTGTCAAGTGGTTCTATATTCGTTGTTTATTATTTTTCTAAAAAAAAAGAAGACTTTCCGAGACATTTTGTCACAGGGGATTTCCTTCATAAATAATCCTGTAAAACTAAGCATGCGTATGTTACCCGCTCCTGTATATGTTTGCTGTTCATCTTACATGTCTTATCACCCTTTTCCACAATTATGGTATACTCGCGAAATTTATTGCAGCATGTGAGAAATTTACATGATATAGGCCTACTGAGCATTTTTTTTTTTTTTTTTTGATCTGCTAGAAAAAAAATTCACTCAGGTTTATTCTAAATTTAAATAGTCCCTATAACTCTTTTTTTTTTTTTTTTTGCTATGGAGAATTAAGAATAATACAGATATATCTAACATAAAAAAAACAAAGAAAAATGATTTCTTTTAATCAGTCTGGGGAATATAGTCTTGATCCGCCTACCTGCTACACGTAACGTCACAATGGCGGAAGTGACGCCTCGGTGTATGTTTTTACGTATTTATGTCGACAGACGAGCCGAGACTACAAAGTTTAGATATGTTTTTGTGTTATTCTTCTGTAGGGATTTTTTACGGGGGTTCCATAAAAATTTATTGTCGCAAATGTCGAAATGGAATCCTCTCTGTTGAATGACTCGAAACAACAAATAAAAGACGAAGGAAGTGTGGGATGTGTTTTTTTTTCATGATCTTCACTGAAATATTTGCATAAACAACTGACTAAAAGGTAAATTCAATCATTGATTCAACAAATTCGTGCATTTTCAGAAAAAAGGTCGTATATAACAAGGAGAATAAGTCCAAGATTTTTCTCAAATCTCAGCTTACGTGAGACGAATCTCAGAAATGTTGGTGGCACGGTGTTTTAGGAAAATCTCAGCTGAGGCAGAAATCTAAGATTTGAGGCTGAGATTTGAGCTGAGATTTTTATATGTTGGTGGCCCCGAAGCCAGGTCTATCTGAGTTTTTAAAGCTTATAATTAGAAAGTCCCGGACTATCCGCATTTATATACCTTGACACGTGATGCCAAACGAACCAATGACAAATCTCGTTACAATGTTTGAAAATAATATCATAAGTTATCATAAACACTTTTACCGTATCCAGGTTTAATTGATTAATATACAAGTTTAGGATATATACTTGTTAAAATATGCTCAATAGTTTGTCTACAATAACAAAGAAGTGATGGCAAAATTATATTGAAGGTCTATCGTTGTTCAAATTAAAGAAATTTTGTAACACCCCCCACCCGGCCCCCACCCACACCCCTGCTTGAAAAGCAGGGTTTGTGTATTGAGGAGTGTGTCCATCTATCTATCCTTCCATTTGTCCGTTTATTACGTTACTGGGTACCCATCTCTTATCTGCAATTTTTCTTATACCACTGAATGAAATTTAATGAGACTTTAACAGAATCTTTGTTACATATAGTACAATTGTGCACCTCCCGTTTTACTTTTTGATTGGACACATGTTTCGGGTTTCCCAATGCAAAACAGAGACACTGCCATTCCTCCTTTGATCATATTGGGGGTACCCATCTCATGTCTGCAACTCCTCTTATAACACTGAATGAAATTTAATGAGACCTTAACAGAATATTTGTTACACAGTACAATTATGCAGCTTCTGATTTTTTATTGGACACATGTTTCGGGTTTCCCAAAGCAAAACAGACACTGCCATTCCTCCTATAATAATGTTGGGGATACCCATCTCATATCTGCAACTCCTCCTATATAACTAAATAAAGTTTAATGATACTTTTACAGAATCTTTCTTACATAATGCCATTTTGCAGCTTCTACTTTATATATTTAGATCAGACAGGTATTTGGGTTTTTCCCATAGTAAAAAATTGACTTATACTCATTATACTCATATGGGAACTGTGGGTATCATTTTGTGAGTTCAGTGCTCACAGTACCTCTAGTTTATATTTTTTTTTAATTGCAGATCTGATTTATTTTAAATAGAATAAAAGTCTACTTGCATAATGCACAGGGACAACAAAGTGAGAAGATGTAACAAATTGCATTCTTTTTCATTTGCAGTGAATTCTTCAAGCCAGAAACAACGCTTTAAACTTAGACTTGATAAAAAAGATCTGCAACAGAGTATCCCTGAATATCATTCAGAGAATGCAGCTGATGATGGGGAAATGCAGGAAAAGATGGAACCAGCATCTTATAAGGACAATAAGTTTGAAGCATCAAACAGTGGACAAATATCACATGGTGAAACCAACATTAAAACTACCTCATCCTATGAACCACAAGGGGCCATATCACCAGAAAATTTAGTAGAAATTATGAAGGAAAGAAAAGATATTCCACATAGTTCAGAAATTTCTGGAAATTTGCAAATAGAGGCAAAAAACATTTCAGATCCAGAAAAAAAAATTACCATGTCTGACTTTGCGGGACAGTGCGCCTATTATGCCTCACACCAGATTTTTCTGAGTCCACGGGCATTCTTTATTCTGGTGCTCAATATGGAGAAAAGGTTTGATGATCAAGTCGGAGAAGAAGTATGTAGCCAGGAAGGCTCCATTTACAAGGGATGGACAAACAGAGGTAAAATTTCAATTATGACATGTATGGTAAAAAATAATTAATCAATAGTTCTTCAGGCACCACCGCATCAGGTCAAAAACTGCTGCATTGATAAATTTTATTGACATTAATTGAAAAGGGAAATAACTCAATTTTCTATTTTTCCAGAACCTGTCTGCCACATTGAATTTTTAAAATTTTAGACCTGAGAAACTATTAATTAACTTTTTTCCCCTAAATAATTACTTTTTGTTTGTCATTCTGTGCAGCTCTATGAGTTTGTTTATGGGAAAAAAATTAGAGAATTATATTTGATGTTAATATTGCTTGTTTTGTTTGTTTGTTGTTTAACGTCCCTTTCGAGAATTTTTGACTCATTTGGGGATGCCACCACTTGCCGGTGGAGGGCTACAAATTTTGACCTATACTCGGCACTCAGGGCCATTGAGCAGTGAGGGATCTATTTCGTGCCAGCACCCACTGCGACAAGGGACCTCGGCTTATACGGTCTCATCTGAAGGACTGTCTTCACGTCCCGCAGTGAAATTCAAACCCGTGACGTAAGGATCAACTCCTTACTCCGCGACTGTAGAGCAGATGCTCTAACCACTGTGCCACGCGGGCGACGAAGCTAATATTGCATAATAATATGCCATTTTAAAAAGAGTCTGACATTATGGCATGACATTCATGTCAGTCCATCCGTCTCTTAGTTCTTAAGCTCACCTGAGCTGGAAGATCAAGTGAATTTTTCTGATCACTTGTTGTCCGGCGTCCATCTGTCTAGCTGTCCATCCGTCTCTCTGTAAACTTTTCACAGTTTTAACTTCTTCTCAAGAACTCCTTGGCCAATTTTAACCAAAGTTGGCACAAAGCATCCTTTGGTAAAGGGGATACTAAATATTCAAACAAAGGACCAGGTCCTCTTTAAAGGGGAGATAAACAAGAGCAGACAAAAATAGGATGGAGTTATAAAAAAGGTATCACTGGGCCAGAAAAGCTGATACTTATGTGGAAGTTTTCTTTGGTAATGTACATGTAGATCCTAAATTGTAAAAACCATGGCCACCGTGGGAGGGGTGGGGCCACAATAGGGAATCTAATTTTTACATTGAAATATATTCGAAAAAGTCTTTTAAAGAATTTCTTCAGAAGAACCATTTGACCAGAAAAACTGAAATTTATGTGGAAACTTCCTGAGGTAGTGTAGATTTTAAATTGTCAGAGGTAGGGTGGGGCCACATTAGAGAATAAAGTTTTTACATTGAAATATACAGGAAAAATCTTTAAAACTACTCTTCTCATGAACAGCAAAACCATGATGATTAAGGTTTCTGTGGAAGCATCATTTGGTACTGTAGACTCATTTTTCGCTTTTCTGATCACCCATTGTCCGTCCATCTGTAAACTTTTCACATTCTCAACTTCTTCTCAAGAACCACTGGGCCAATTTTAACCAAACTTGGTACAAAGCATCCTTTGGTAAAGGGGAGTTTAAATTCTTAAAATGAAGGGCCAAGCCCCCTTCAAAGGGGAGATAATCAAGAATAGACAAAAATTGGGTAGGGTCATTAAAACTTCTCAAGAACCACTGGGCCAGAAAAGCTGACACTTAAGTGGAAGCATCCTGGGGTAGTGCAGATTCTAAATTGTTCAAATCATGACCCCCGGGGGTAGGGCAGGGCCACAATAGGGAATCCAAATTTTACATTGAAATATGTAGCAACAATCTTTAAAATTCTTCTTCTCAAGAACAACTGGGCCAGAAAAGCTGAAACTTATGTGGAAGCATTCTGGGGTAGTGTAGATTCTAAATTGTTCGAATCATGATCCCTAGGAGTAGGGCGGGGCCACAAAAGGGAATCCAATTTTCACATTGAAATATGTAGTAAAAATCTTCTCAAGAACCACTGGGCCAGGAAAACTGAAACTTAAGTGGAAGCATCCTGGGGTTGTGTAGATTCTAATTGTTCAAATTCTGACCCCTGGGGGTAGGGCGGGGCCACAATAAGTACTACAAGGGGGGAAATCAGGTGAAAAATAGCAGGGCCAAAGTTACTCAGGTGAGCGTTGTGGCCCATGGGCCTCTTGTTGTTTAGATCCCAGCCCCTGTGAATTGGATGGGGTTACAAAAAGCAAATTTAAAATTACAGGGGATGAACAAACAAAGGTAATATTGTATGACAAGTATGGCCAAAAAAATTAATCAATAGTTTCAAAAACTGCCGCATTGATAAATTTTATTGACTTGTTGAGAAGGGAAACTATATATTACCTAAAACATGTTTGTGACATCATCTTTTGTTTAATATATGGTCCAGTGAATTTCTTATTTTCTTGAGCCCCGTCCAATAAGTTATCTATCTGTAGGTGTCCAATAAGATTGGACTTATTAGACAGCTACAGGTAACATTGAAATGAAAATAAAATGTGATATAGATAAACAAACAGCACTGAAAAAGTTTTGATAACTCAAACAATTTAATGTGAGCATTGTAGGAAATTAGCAATGTAAATAAAAATTTACATGTATAATTTAATAAGCACCCTATTGAATCCAAAGAAAAAGGAATGTCTTGCAGGAAATGTTGTAGACGAATCTATACGTTATCGATTTTAAATTCCATTAACAAAACGTTCGTTTTTATTCATTTCACATAAATTGATACATATGGAACATTCACAGAATATTGAGGACACAAAAGATGAATCCGGTGCCTGTGTTCCTTACACACATCCTTGAGTCTTTTTTGCTTAGTAGAACACCTATTTTTCTGCTTTTAACTATTCCACTTGTGCAAATTCATTTGATTCTGTATGTAAGGCTGTATTTTTGTTAGCATGGTTAGGTTATTTGTAGTTATTTTTTGCTGGCCGTCTAGTCCTGCATTGTTTGAGCTAGTGTCTGTTGTTGCTTTTGAGTGGCTGGAGTAAACTCCTACAAAACCTGAACACAATCAAGAAACTGTTTGTTGCAAATTAAAATATATAATACAAAAAAAATAATTTCCTAATTTCATAGTAGAAACAATCAAACTGAATAAAATGGTTTGAATTAATTCTTTCGAATCCTGTTATTTTGCACATTTGAGAAACTGTTTCTTGCAAACTCAAAAATATATGAATATCCTCAGATTTCAGAGAAGAAAACTTCAAGCTGAAATCTGCATTTTGGTGTTTTACATTAATGAACATTGTCAGGAATATCTGTATCTAAAGTAGTCATTGATTTAAAATATACGCTGTCATGCATGATAAAATGAATAGATTGTCAAGAATTGAATGGGATTTACTTTTATGCATGCGTAGCGTAAAGTACAAATTTCACAATGTGGATAAATAAGACCAAACAAAGTTAATGTTTATATTATCCATATAAAATGATTGAAAAACTACATTTATAAATTCAAAAACTTGTTTCTTTGGCCTAACTTAATGGAGAGGGTCAGGTAAAGTCATCCAAGCAGAACAAGACTAGTTTACCTGTGGCTGCCCAATATGTTAATAATGGGAGTGTTTGACAATGTCGACATGTTTTAAATTAAGCCTCAAACTGACTTATATATCAGATATTAGACTCTCGTCGGCGTTAACGTTCCTCGGACCATCTGATATCTGACATAATGGACAGTTTTCAGCTTATTCATGTAACTATTACATAAATATCCAAATATGAAACATATGATGTCTTTTGTATCAACTGTATGAAGGAGTAAAAGTGATCAAGAAATCATGAATTCTTGTTTTTCACATACCTGTAAATAAATATCAGTTTGGTAAAAATGATGCATAAGAAGAGAAAGAAATTTCAAAAGTAGATTTTGGAAATAAAGGATTCGGCACCTTAACTAAGAGTATCATTTCCTGTAATCTATCTAAATGAAAATCTTACTTCTATTTTTAGGTCACCTGAGTCACTCAGGTGACCTATTGCTATCCGTTCTCGTCCCTCGGCGTGCGTCGTGCGGTGTGCGTCGTGCGTTAACATTTGAACATTTTTAGCTTCTTCTCTATAACCGCTGAACCAATTTCAACCAAATTTGGCATATAGCATCTATGGGTGAAGGGGAACAAAATTTGTGAATTTCATGGTCCCTGCCCCCCTGGGGCCTGAGGGGTGGGGCTAAAACCACCAAAAATAATGCAATCTTTAAAAATCTTCTTCTTTACTCCCGGCCATCAAGCAGTCAAACTGTTGGCATCATTGTAATAAGCATTGAGCCCTCTACCAAAATTTTGAAATTCATGGCCCCAGGGTCAGGGGTTCTGGCCCCAGGGTGGGGCTATATAGATCATATAGTGAAAGTGCATTATTTCTTTGAAAATCTTCTTCTCTGCTCCTGAGTATTAAATAAGGTAACTAAGTACATAGTTATGAAGAGCAAGAGTGCCTCTTCCAAAATTGTGAAATTGATGGCCCCAGGGTCAGGGCTTCTGGTGTTAGGGCGGGGCTCTGTAGATTATATAGTGAAAATGCATTTATTCTTTGAAAATCTTCTTCTCTGCTCCTGGGTATTAAATAAAGTAACTAAGTACCTAGTTATGATAAGCAAGAGTGCCTCTTCCAAAATTGTGAAATTTTTGGCCCCAGGGTCAGGGGTTCTGGCCCCAGGGTGGGGCTATATAGATCATATAGTGAAAGTGCATTATTTCTTTGAAAATTTTCTTCTCTGCTCCTGGGTATTAAATAAGGTAACTAAGTAATAGTTATGAAGAGCAAGAGTGCTTCTTCCAAAATTGTGAAATTCATGGCCCCAGGGTCAGGGCTTCTGGTGTTAGGGCAGGGCTCTGTAGATTATATAGTGAAAATGCATTTATTCTTTGAAAATCTTCTTCTCTGCTCCTGGGTATTAAATAAAGTAACTATGTAATAGTTATGATGAGCAAGAGTGCCTCTTCCAAAATTGTGAAATTCTTGGCCCCAGGGTCAGGGGTTCTGGCCCCAGGGTGGGGCTATATAGATCATATAGTGAAAGTGCATTAATTCTTTGAAAATCTTCTTCTCTGCTCCTGGGTATAAAATAAGGTAACTAAGTACATTTTTATGATGAGCAAGAGTGCCTCTTCCAAAATTGTGAAATTCATGGCCCCGGGGTTAGGGGTTCTGGTATAAGGGAGGGGCTCTATTGATTATATAGGGAAAATGCATTAATTCTTTGAAAATCTTCTTCTCTGCTCCTGGGTATTAAATAAAGTAACAAAGTACATAGTTATGATGAGCAAGAGTGCCTCTTCCAAAATTGTGAAATTCATGGCCCCAGGGTCAGGGGTTCTGGTGTTAGGGCGCGGCTCTATAGTTTATATAGTGAAAAAACATTAATTCTTTGAAAATCTTCTTCTCTGCTCCTGGGTATTAAATAAAGTAACTAAGTACATAGTTATGATGAGCAAAAGTGCCTTTTCAAGAATTGTGAATTTCATGGCCCCAGGGTCAGGGGTTCTGGTGTTAGGGCGGGGCTCTATCGACTATCTAGTGAAAATGCATTAATTCTTTGAAAATCTTATCTGCTCCTGGGTATTAAATTAAGTAACTAAGTACATAGTTATGATGAGCAAGAGAGCCTCTTCCAAAATTTTGAATTTCATGGCCCCAGGGTCAGGGGTTCTGGTGTTAGGGCGGGGCTCTATTGACTAAATAGTGAAAATGCATTAATTCTTTGAAAATCTTCTCCTCTGCTCCTGGGCATTAAGATGATAAACTAAGTACATAGTTATGATGAGGAGGTGGGCCCCTTCCAGAATTGTGAAAGCCATGGCCCCTGGGTCAGGGGTTCTGGTGTTAGGGCGGGGCTGTATTGATTATATAGTGAAAATGCATTAATTCTTTGAAAATCTTCTCTGCTCCTGGGTATTATTTAAACAAACTAAGTGCATGGTTATGATGCATAAGGATGCCTTTTCAAAAATTGTGAATTTCATGGCCCCAGGGTCAGGGGTTCTGGTGTTAGGGTGGGGCTCTATTGATTATATAGTGAAAATGCATTGATTCTTTGAAAATCTTCTTCTCTGCTACTGGAGATTATTTAAACAAACTAAATGCATGATTAAGATAGGCAAGGATGCCTCTTCCAAAATTTTTAAATACATGGCCTCAGTTTTTGGGGTTCTTGGGGGGGGGGGGGGGGCTCTATTGATTATATAGTGAAAATGCATTAACTCTATTAATTAATCATTAACTAATCCTGTCTGCTCCTTAGTGTTGAGCTGATAAATAAATTGCTTAGCTATGATGAAGATGGGAGCTTCGACAGAATTTTTAAATCTTGTGGTCCTAGGGTCAGGGGTTCTGGCATAACGAGGAAGAGGGGGGGGGGGGGGCTTTTGATAATATAGTAGAAAAGTGTTAATTCTTTGAAGTCCATAGTTATGATGATGAGGGTAACTCTTCCAAATTTGTAAATTTCTTGACCTTTGGTCTTGGGTTCTGGTGTTAGGGTAAGGCTTTTTTGAATCTGTAGTGAAAATGCACTGTACCTGTGAAATTCTTCTCTGCTTCTGGGCATATTGGAAGCAAACTGAGTAAAAGTTTAAATGATATAAGTAAGCGTATTTCTACCAGATTTTTGAACATCTGGACAATTTGTCTAAGCATTCTGGTCCTGCATGGACAGGGCTCTATTAATTTGTATTCTACTGAGAGAAGTTATTCCCCTTTTCCATTCACCTTTGATAATTAATCACTGTAAATAATGTATTTGAAAGATTAATAGAATAAGATAATTATGCAAGAATGTTTATCGTATAATTCAAAAAGTACTTTCTTAGTTTTAATAATCAGGCAGACCTGTAAGTAATAGATAAATAAAAATGAGACAAAAATAACTTATCTTATTAAAAGTTCTTCAAAGACCATAAGAGAGGTCAATGCTAGAGGTCTTAATATGGGTTTAAAAATAGTACAGAAGCACTAATAGTTTGTTAATAGTCTGCATGGTGATAATGTTAAGTGGGGGACAGATTAGAACTTAAGTTATGAGTTGATACTGAATACTAGACTAATTATTTTGTTGATCCTGATCTTCCTACTTCTCTTGCTTTAGGGCAACAAAGCTTCATCTATCAGTGTATTTAACTTCTAAATTGTTGTATTATACTCAGGTGACCGTTAAGGACCTTGGGCCTCTTGTTCTTTGTTATTCAGATTATCTTGAATTCTGGATGAAGTCCATTCACCAGTACAGCAGTGATAAGGCCCCAGTCATTCTGGTTGGTACACACAGTGAGAACAGAACAGAAGAGGTACCATACTTATATAAAAATGCTTTTTTACTTAAAATCATGATATATACATGTTATGTAGTCAAAAATATACCATCATATCAATTGTTAAAAAAAATAATGTACACTTGAAAAATCAGTAAAAATGATAAACGGGTGTTAAAGGTGAGGATAATGTAATGCCGCTGTGGTAAAAAGTAACTTTTGAAAAAAAAAAAACTTGATTAAAAGGACATTGTTTTCGTGTCTCATTTAAAAAAAAAAATAGCCCCCCCCCCCCCCCCCCCCTCTATCTCTCTTCTTTATTGAATTCCAGATCCAGGAACTTAACAAAAAAATCTTAAAGCATCTGTTCAGGTGATTGAAAATTTCCTGCACAGAAAATTGAGATAAATACTTTATTTTATTTGATTACTACTTATATTTAACTTACTTGTTTATACAATGGTTTGCCTCAGAGAGCAAAAAAATCATAAATATGTCTAGGAGGGAATGTTGTAGGTTATTGGTCCCATGGATTTATTATAAAAAAGAGCACTGAAATCACTAATTTGATTTTCTCTCGTCTTTGAACAGTGCATTATTAAATATCTATTGTTTAAAAACATATTTTAACTTTGTCATGGATTGTTTATTATAATGATAATATGTACATGTATATTTAAGCTTGTGTCTCATAAAGTCTGTGTGTTCAGAAAGTAAGAAAATATTTCATGATTATGTACATTGTTTTACCATCACTTCTTTGTTTGCATAGAATATAATAAGGACTTTGTTTTCATTAGGAAAAGGAATTGTTTTTCCGTGAAGTATGGAAGACTTTAGACATGAAGAAGTCTTTGCAAAAACATATTGATGTGAAGCGGCGATTTGCAGTTGGATTCCATGACAGTGAAAGCATTGAAAAACTCAAGCTGTCCATTGCTGATGTTGTGTGCAGGCTTGATCACTGGGGTGAGGAGCTTCCACAGTCATGGGCTATGTTTGAAACGTTCTTTCGGGAAAAGAAAATCCGCAAGATTTTGAGTAGGGATGAAATTCAGTTGTTCAATGAAACATTGCCAGAGGGAATAAAGCTCCAAACTATTGAAGATATGAGTGCCATGCTGCAGTTCTTCCATGATATCAGAGAAATTATACACTTCAATCAACAATTCCTCAATGAAGCTATTATTCTCGATGTTCAGTGGTTTGCAGATGCATTTAAAAATGTCATAACAGATAAAAACCACGCAAAAGAGGATTTATTCGAATTTGCGTCAGAATGGGACAAATTTAATGAAACTGGAGAGTTAGATGAAACTCTCCTATCTGTTATATGGAGAATGAACAACAATGGTTACATCGAGCATAAAGAAGACATCTTGCTATACATGGAGAAGCTAGGACTCTTAGCAAAAATGAGTGACAAAAAGTGGTATGTCCCCTGCATGAACAAGATGCAATTCCCAGTAGACTGTTTTTCATCATACCCTGCCTCCTCCATCCTCTGCTACAGGTTTGATGTTCTTCCTGCTGGAATTTTCCATCGCCTTGTAGCAACGTGCATGCAGATTCCTTGGGAGATTTTTTCAGATGAGGACCGAGGATGCATTTACCAGACTGCGGCGATTTTTGAGTTTCAAGACCAGCACCATATTATTATGCTTGGAATGACTCAAACAGATATTCAATTGCAAGTGTTTGTTTTGGAAGGAGAAGTTGATGTTTTAGTATGTCACCAGATTAGAGAAAGAATTGAGGGTATTTTGCAAAATCTTTCCAACACATTCGAGAAAAACACCGAATTTCATGTTGCTTTCAAATGCAAACCTGTAGGATTTTGTGACAGCAAAGAAAGTGCTGTCATAAATGAATCCAAGTTTACAAGAGCAACTTTTAATTGTCCGTCCTGCCCAGCAATGGAAAAGCATGTAATAAACTCAAACGCTATAACAAAATATTGGAAACAGGTAATGCTTCTAAAATAAAAAAAAACTAAATCTATAAATCATAAACTTGGCAACTGTAAATTAATTTACTAATTCTGAAAAGTTTCTTATTGAATGATTATAACATTGATATCCCAGGGATCGACATTAACGGTTGTCCGATTGCCCGGGACAAGTAAATTATCAGTTCGGGCAAGTGAAATTGTCGACGAACTTGTCCGATCGGGCAAGTGATTTTTTTTATACAGATGTACATATTTATTCAGTTAACATTAACTTATAAATAAAACAATAAATTAAACACTTGATTTCCACAACGTACCTGACTGACAATGTTTTTGCATTCGGAATTCCTTGCTAGCGTTTCTGGATTATACCATTCATTTAAAAAATCAAGTTCGTTATTTTCTTTCATTATAAATACGCTCTACGTCTAACAAAATTTTGTTTACTTCTTACTAGGAAATTAAATTATTTATTCACACACATATAAGTACAGTGTAACGACGTATCTTGAAAAAGATAAGATGTATGTTTTGTAGCAACTATGTTACTTTAATGTCGCTTCACAGTTATCTCTGAAAATCACGATTCACAAAAGGATCCTACCGAAAATAATTTTTAAAAATATGAATTATATTTAAAGGAAACGGAGAGTTATTGCTGCATGGCAGTGTGTGTTAACAGATTAAATTTACAAGTACAGTGGTATACATTTATGTACAAATGCAGCATCGAAATTTTTTCAGATAGCTCAACTTTCCAAATTGACAGTAGTGTATTTTTTTTTTATCATAACGTTTACAGTAAAAAAAATAATTTTCTTCTTAAGTTCTTTCCTAGTTTTGGGCACCCAAGTTTTGCATTCGGACAGGTAAAAGTTTGAGATCACTTGCCCGAAAGGCAAGTAAATCTGAAAGTTAATGTCTATCCCTGTATCCTTTTAGATCCTCACAACATTCAATTTAATTTATCCAATAAATGCTGTGTCACATTATATCCTCTTTTATGATCTTAATTTCTAAGAAAAGTCTATAGGTTGGACTTTAATATGATTCTCTTCTTAGTGTGTTTTTCTTTTTTTTTTTCTCTAAGATCACTGTTGATATTATCTAAATGAGGTGGAATCTTTTTTCAGATACAACCGAGTAATCCTAGCACTTTGACTGCTTGTGCACAAGACCTGGGGGACCAATCTAGATTTGCAAAACTTGGAATGGCAACAAACGACGTATTAAATCAGGCATATAGAGACATACTAGAAATGGAGGTTCACCCTTCCTTTATCTATAACAAAGTGAAAGCAACACCAAATTTTCACAAAAGATTGCGCCCGGAACAAGAACAACTCTTGATAGATGCTAATCATTCGGGATATAAGAATTTTGATATTTCATTAACATACACATTGATCAGAAACATTTGTAAAATGATTCCTTTACCAACCAAAGGAAAATGGGGAGATGAGCCTGCAGCAGGAGAGTTCACAGTTGGTGATGATATTGAGAGAATTAGGTCAATCCGAAACAGTTTGACAGCACATGTGAGCTCAGCCTCCACCCCTCAGACAGAATTCGATGACACCTGGTCAAAGATGTCAGATATCTGCCAAAGACTGGAAACCTTCACTGGAAAGAAGTACCTGGACAGCCTTAAAAAAATTCAAAATTTGGCATTGAAAGAGGAAGATGCTATTATGGAGATCTTGCGTTCTCTCGTTTCAGATGTGCAAAAAATTAAAAGAACATTGAAAGTTAAAAGTTAGGAGGATACGAATTAGGATGTTTCTTGTAACATGTAGGGTGAAATATTTGAAATATCACATTGTAGAAATTGAAAAGACGTACTTGCTTAACCTTGCTGATATTCAAAAAATTACCACAAGAAAGGAAATTGAAGATGCTGTTATAGAAATAGAAAGGATTATAAAATGGAAAGTCATCATGAAATGGTGAAGACAATACTATCACATGTGCAAGAAATTAAAACAGCAGTAATGAAGCTTGAAAGCAAGGACGCTACAAATTAGGAGTACATGTATTACTCATAGGATGTATGGAGTAATTTTTTAAATAACTAGATGAATTTTGTATAACATTAAACTAGTCTGAACTCATATTCAAAAAGCAATGATTTTGTTTGTAGGATTTGTATACCTAGAGTTATTGACAAACAAGTTGATGAAACAAGGATATCAACAGTCTTGTTTAAAGTCATCATTTTGCAATCTCTACGGTCAACACAATGACCTTGTCAACAAATACAATCTATCATTAAGTCGAATGCTGACTGACGACACTTTTCATAATGATTTTAGGCCATTGTTTAAACAAACACTGAATTGTCTATGAATTTTTCCATTTGCCCAATCATGACAATGAACACATGGCGGGTGTGACTGGTCGACGGGGGATGCTTACTCCTCCATGGCACCTGATTTCACCTCTGATGTTTTTCAGACATCAGTGTTTGCATTGCCCCTGATTTTCAATGGACTTTTGAGTTTGATTGCTGTTTGATATCTCCATATTTCATTAGAACTGAGATTTGTCAAAAGGTTGATCCAAGCTCCAGAATTTTTAGATGATTTTATTGTTATCACAATTCTAGAGCCACTGATTACTTTGAATTCAAACTTTTTTACAAGGACCTACGTGTAAGAATACTACCAATACCAGCAATGGAGGTCATGTTTCAAAGTGAAGGGCACAGGAAGGTCACATTTCAAGAAACACCAGAATACAAATTTTAAAACTTGTGTTTATATTTATACTCTGACAATTATTTAAGTATGTCAATTTACTATACAACATTTCAAGATGCATGAGAGTTCAAATTTTAAAATTGTGTACACAATTATTTTAATATGTCAATTTACTATAGAACTGAATGTTATTTTGTATCAAATGAATTGATTTTGTTAGAAGGAATTTATTTTCTTTTTTCTTTTAGAATTTTAGTTTTTAAAATGTTTTGTTCTTAGCTCACCTGAGCTGAAAGCTCAAGTGAGCTTTTTTTTTATCACCTTTGTCCGGTGTCTGGCCATCCGTCTGTAAACTTTTTGCATTTTCAACTTCTTTTCAAGAACCACTTGGCCAATTTTTACCAAAGTTGGTACAAAGCATCCGTAAGTCAAGAAGATAGGGCCAAACCACAATTCTAAGGGGAAATAATCAAGAAAAGGCGAAAATAGGGTGGGGTCATTAAAAAACTTTCTTCTCAAGAACCACTGGGCCAGAAAAGAACAAACTTATGTGAAAGCTTCCTTAGCTAGTGTAGATTCTAAATTGTTATAATTGTGGCCCCTGGGGTAGTGTAGATTCTACTTTGTTCAGATTATGGTCCCGGAGGGGGGGGGGGGCACAATAGGGAATCAAAGTTTATATATACGAAAAATATTTAAAAATCCTGTTCCAGGGAATAAAAATTTCCTGGAAAACTCACTAGCCTAGGGGCTACTGATCAAAAAAAATTACAGGCCCAAACCTCAAGCTATCTAGCCCAACAATTTTTTATGCAAAATGAAAACATAACACAAGTAACAGTTTCAAAGGCTTTGGTGACAGAAACAAAGTAAACAGACGAGAATTTTTTTTCTGGTCTGCTAGTCTATAGACTATTGTTTCATTTAAATAAGCTAGTTTGAGTCTTGAAACTACTAGCCACGGACTTCGGGCTACCGTATGTTTCAACCCCTCCTGTTCTCAAGAATCATTGGGCCTGAAAACCTGAAACTTATGTGAAAGCTTCCTGAAGATTCTATGTTGTTCAAATTATGGCGGAAAGGGGGGAGGGGTAGTATCTGCTGGACCAGAAAAGCTGAAACTTTTGTGGAAGCTTTTTTAGCTAGTGTAGATTGTTCAGATCATGGTCCCTGGGGTGGGGATTACATAGGGAAAAAATCTTTAAAATTCTATACTTAAGAACAGAAAAGCTATCATAATGATTTATGTTAAAGTGATAGCATCCTCTGCTCGAGTTGATTCATTTTTGCTCATATCATGACTTCTGTGTATAAGATGGAGCCTCAAAAGAAGAACAGAATGTTACATAGCAATAAATGTATATTTGGAAAAAAATCATAGGGCCAAAGTGACTCAGGTGAACGTTGTAGCCCATGTGCCTCTTGTTTTCTATGTTTTTCCTTTGTTAAACTTATATTGCCTATTGTGGCCCCACCCCTCCCCTGGGGGTCATGATTTGACCCCAATTTATAGGGTTGGGCCTCAAAAGAATCAAAATTTTACATAGGAATACATGTACATTGGGAAGCAAATCGGATGAATAATAGTAGGGCCAAAGTGACTTAGGTGAGCATTGTGGCCCATGGGCCTCTTGTTATTATATACATGTAATAAAAAAACCTTGAGCACAAACAAATATACAATATGTATGCAATGATTAAGGTCACCTGAAGCAAAGTCTCAAGTTATCTTTTTTGATTGACGGGTGTCTGGCTTCTGTGTGTTGTCTGTAAACTTTTCAAATTTTCAACTTTTTCCCCAGAACCACAAAACATCCTTGGATAAAAGGGATTCAAGTTTGTTAAAATGAAGAGTCACGGCCTCTTTCAAGAGGTAGCCATTAAGAATTAATATTTGGTGGCATCATTTGATAGAACTACTGGGCTGACATTGTGTGGATTCAAATTTCTTTAAATCATGGCCCAGGTGGTAGGTTGGAATTACAATTAACACTGAAATATTTAGAAAAAAAATATAATTCTTCTCAAGAATGGAGGGATATGCCTGGTATTATCTTTTCAACATTCAGGCACTTTTAGCTGTTTAGAGCCGCATGATGGCTGTAAATGTACATGTAGAGTAGGGCAATGACAGGGAATCAGTTTCACATTGAAATATATATCACGGTGTAAATTTTGATAAAAACAATTTTGGTGGCATGTTTTCGCTATCTTTGAAATATACTTTTAATCTATTGTGATTACTCAATACAACATAAAAGACTAATTATGCTAATTACCTGTGTTAATCGATTTACTCAACTTGTCATGAGTTATTCTATCTAAGCCATCTGTCACTCATGCTCAGAATTGTGCTATTTGTCATTGTTATATTTTATTATTTATATGTTACATGTATCTTTGTTAATCAGTCAAGTCCTAGGCTTCGGATTGTTCGGGTGCAATTTTTGGATTTCCAGAATTCGCTTTACCGACCTAAGTTTATAATAAAGTGCTTTTCCATCGTTAGCGGCATTTTTATGTTTCATTGTTGCCGGAAAGTTATATACTTATGTTTCCCGGTGATATATATAGGAAGCTGAAACTTAAGTTTCAGCTGAAACTTAAGTGAAAGCTTCCTGAGGTAATGTAGATTCTAAATTGCTGAAATTATGGCCCCAAGAGTAGGGTGGGGTCATAACAGGGAATCAAAGTTTAATATTGAAATATAATGGGAAAATCTTGAAAAAAAAAAAACAAGAACCATTAGGCCAGAAAAGCTGAAACTTACTTAGTATGTGAAAGCTTTCTGAGAAAGTGTACATTCCAAGTTGTTCAAATCATGCCCCCGGGGGTAGGGTGGGGCCAAAGTAAGGAATTAAAGTTTTTACATTGAAATACCAGTATATAGGAAAAAAATCTAAAGAACCACTGGGCCTGAAAAGCTGGAACTTAGGTGAAAGCTTCGTGATATAGTGTAGATTCTAAATTGTTCAAATCATGGCCTCCGGGGAAGGATGGGGCCAGAATAGGAAATTAGAGTTTAATATTGAAATATAATGGGAAAATCTTGAAAAAAAATTTATCGAGAACCATTGGGCCAGAAAAGCTGAAACTAACTTAGTATGTGAAAGCTTCCTGAGAAAGTGTGCATTACGAGTTTTTCAAATCATGCCTCCAGGGGTAGGGTGGGGCCACAATAAGGAATCAAAGTTTTACATTGAAATATATAGAAAAAAAATCTGCTGCTTGGGTGGGGCTATATAGGTAATATAGTGAAAGTGCATTATTTCTTTGAAAATCTTATTCTCTTCTCCTGCATGGGTATTAAACTAAGTACATAGTTATGGTGAGCAAGGTTGCCTCTTCCCAAATTGTGAATTTCATGGCCCCTGGGTCAGGGGTTCTGGTGTTAGTGCGGGGCACTATTGATTATATAGTGAAAATGCTTTAATTGTTTGAAAATCTTCTCTGCTCCAGGGTATTAAACTAACTATGTACATAGTTATGATGTGCAAGGGTGCCTCTTCCCAAATTGTGAATTTTATGGCCCCTGGATCAGGGGTTCTGGTGTTAAGGGGGGAGGGGGGTTCTGGTGTTAAAGGGGAAGGGGGGTTCTATTGATTATATACTGAAACGCAAAATCCTATTTTAGGGGAAAATATTATGAATAGGATATAATTTTGTATCTAAAAAGTAAGGACATCTTCAACTTTGTAAATATCGGTAATTTAACGGTTGAATGAATTCATACCATTACTGGAAGTTAAGTTTGAGTCTGGTTAACAGAAATCAAAAATTGCATGTTTAACAAAACATTTGGCAATATTATGGGGTTTTAAGGGTTTATATCTGTTCATCATAAGTAATGCAGCAATATTCCGAAAAATAAATTCTCCATTCTCTTCCGTAAGCGATGCCAAGGCTTCCTGAAAATGACTTGAGTACACATTTCCATTGCTCTAGCTGGAAAATCTCAGTGTTTTGACAGTCATGTGTTAAAAGATAATCATTTAACATTTTATAAATCTCTGATGTTTTTAAATCGAGTTTTACCTTTCTGTATTCATTTTTGAAAATCGTAAGATAAAAAATTCAAATATTTGTAGATTACTTCTTGTTGCGTTTCTTTTGGTTTCAGTATACATGTATAGTGAAAATGCATCAATTGTTTGAAAATCTTCTCTGCTCCTGGGTATAAAACAAACTAAGTACTGGTGTTAGGGAGGGGCTCTATTGATTTTATAGTGAAAATGCATTAATTCTTTGAAAATCGTCTTCTCTGCTCCTGGGTATTATTTAAAAAATTAAGTGCATGGTTATGATAAGCGAAATTTGTGAAATTCATAGCCCCCCAGGGTCGGGGTTTCTGGTGAAAGGGGGGCTCTTTTGATTATATAGTGAAAAGGCATAATTTCTTTAAAAATATTCTTTTCTGCTCTTGGTTATAAAGCAAAGAAACTAAGTGTATAGTTATGATTAGCTATGATGAAAAAGGGTGCTTCTTACAAAATTTTATACAAAACTTGTGGTCCCAGGGACAGGGGTTCTGGTGTTTAATGGGAGGGGGGGGGGGGCTCTATTGAAAATATAGTGAAAATATGATAATTCTTTGAAAATCTTCATTTAAGTGCATAGTTATGATGATGAGGGTACCTCTTCCACATTTGTGAATTTCTTGACCCTGGGTCATGGGTTCTGGGGTTAGGATAGAGCTGTGTCGAATCTGTAGTGAAAATGCATTATTTCTTTGAAAATCTTCTCTGCTCCTGGGCATATTGGAGGCAA